TCCCATCGCACGTTGTCGACGCGGGGGGCCTGGGACAAGAATCCCTCACACGCCGTTCTCCGGAGATCCGAGGCACCGGAGGGTTTTTCCTATTTTTTGTGTCCATCATATATTTTGTGGTTCGGCGGGATTATTGCCGAGAGGTCCCGCTCTCGTTCCCCGAATGATTCTGTCCGTTTTACAGGGGAAAGCACAGACAGACACACTGTATGGTGTTATATAGAGTTCCCTCAGTTGAACACAGTCCGTTTTCCGCCAATGATAGATAAATAATATCCGATATTCAAGCCGCCTTTCCCAGTAAAACAGCTGTGTGCGGCAAGCGCAACACTAGGGGACGACTCGGATACCAGTCACAAGCCAATGTAGCAGGGCTTAATTCACTGCTTACAAAGTTTCCTCATAGGCACATGTGACAGGAGGAGGAGCAAAGCTCTACTCAACTCGACTGTGCACTTTTGTATACGCTTACAATCTATGAGGCACCGGTCGCAACAATTTTTCTACTTAAAACTAATTCAACTCAAATCGAATAAACTAACCTACCAACGGGAAACAACTAATAATAATGATGAATTAGATTTTAAGTCCATAAAATAAAATAAGATACTATTCTGTCAACGATAAACGAAACTCCGCCACTAATAACGATAATAACGCACAATATACAAAATAAACGATTTAAGTTTAACGCTGAGACCTTACATACTATATCTTAAACTAGCTTAACAATGCTAATAATATTCAACTCAAACATAGAAAACAAAAAAAAGAACTCGTCAACGTAATAAGTCCATCAAGAGATAAACAACCGTTAATATAGAAAAATCAACTTTATGTTAAGTCCAGTATACATGGTAACACTGCGCGACTCCAAATTGTCCCATATGAATTGCCCGCATACAATCTCACGAGGCTCGACTCTATTTCAGTCGCCCGCGTATGTCGCTAAGCTCAATCCGCAAGTATATGATAAGAGCATACGTCTACGAGAGTGAGTTGTATATCTCAGTTAACTTGCATATTCCACGGTATGCAATTCGTAACGAACTCTTCTTGTATCCCACTATTCTTCTTAATATTTTACATTATAAGCCTCAGTTAGTATTCCCGGGCTTCTATACTTATTGCCGACTCGAGTCACATCTATCGATTATACTGTTCATGTACCCGAGCACGTGGCGTGGAGCTATTCCACACCGGAAGCGCGATCCACAATTACGATTTCCCGTTTCAACAGCGAGCCTCCCCAGGCATATGCTCCCATACGCACAGGCAATGTCCCCATTTATATATTCGTGACATGTATTTACTGAATATATATTCAGTTATCCTATGCTGTATGACCGTATGTAACACATACGCTACGCGACCGCGAGCACGTGGCGAAATCAGCAAATTCTATTCCGAACATAATCTACTATTTATATAGTTCATGCTCGAGAGCATGCAGTGCCGCGGGCGTGCCACCGGGCTACACTACATAGGTGTAGTACCATCTACACTAGCCTTCACTATCGTTTAGGTTATACATTGACATATATTGACTCCCGCACTGTCCCGCACTATTACGATGATACATAAATTCCCGACCACGTGCATCGCGTTCCGGTCATGTCACACAGTCAAGTCCACCAACCTTTACGGCGGCCGCAACTCCCACGTAGCTGCCGGAATAGGAGGGCCGGGTCTTACCTTTCCCTCGCTATCCGCAGGCTCCACCGATGATCGAAAAACAATGCGGATATGCAATTTCAGGCAGAGAGGAAAAAATAACAGTAGTATCGCGTAATGCAACCACCGCTTTTATGGGCTGGTATGCACGCACAATCTCAATGCAAGCAGCACCCTCAGCTCAGGTATCCGCAGCAATCGTCCCTCTCCGTGACACGGGTCGCGCGGTTGGGCACCCTAACCTCTCCTGTCAAAGCAGAGACACACCGCGCGCGCCCGGAACACCGCCTGTAAATATCCCGAAAATCCGAGAACCCGCGCCGATATCACGCGTAATCCACAGCAGCGTGGACAAGGCCACTCCAAGAATCCACTGCTACAGGGGGATCCTAACCCCACCTGTCAGTTTCAGCATCCGCTCACGTCCCGAGTTCGTCTCCGTAAGCGTCCGGCCTCCGTACAAAGGGGCATTCGTTAGCGCCACATAGGCGCCCGCGTATATCTTTTTCAGCACACAGGAGTGACAAAATATGACACGTTTAACGTTTTATCTTAACCGGGTACAGATCCCGTCAGAATCCCGGTTATGTCCACGGGGTCCCCGCTTCAAGTGCACAGCTTCACCCTGCCGCACCTATGCAATTGAAAGGCTCGCAAACACACACATGCAACCACGCGCAAATTACACTACTCAAGCGTGTCACAGCACAACGCAAGTGTTCGCGTGCAACAGGATGCGCATCCCACGCCCGTTAGGTACAACTCGTTTAGAGTTCCGCAGAACGTCGGAGTACAGCATCGCCAGTTCTCCAACTCCAGCTACGCTTCTTAGTTTTATAATTCGGCTCGCGTAATTATACCATAGGAAAGATCACGCCCGAGTTCGCACAAAATTTCACCGAGATATCGCGCCCGTGCACACATGGGCGCCGGGAGCACTCGTAAGCTCCCCAATGAATTTTCTCGTCTATAATATAGATTCGGTACAGCCCGTCACTTCAATCAACTCGAAAACGAGATTTCTGAGTAGCCGGTTTCCCACAATAAACGCGCACGTCAGCACGGAGATTATCTTTTACGGTTTTTTCATACCGATCGACTGCACTTCATCAAGTGACACCTCGTGCATAGGGGAGAGGCCCCTCTCACTACAAGAAAACCCGAGCTACATGCAATATTTATTCCGATAGAGTTTTCGCTCAGTTAATTATAATGAATTCACTGTTTATTAAACCAGTGTAAATGGGGCTCACACAGCGTGAATATTGCTCCGCGTAACGTCACTCACAGATCCTACCTCAATATATCCTTATAGGGACGAAAATCCATGCATGCCAAGCTCCCATTCCCGTAGGCAGGTGACAGCCAAAGACAGGCGCCGAGCGCCGAGAAAGACGCCAGTAAAAAGAGGTGGTCCCAACGCCGTCCCGTCAGCTGATAATAGCAGGGGGAGGCTGCGGATCCCTGACGCCAGCCGGGCGCCCCGCAAAGCAGCGTGCTTCCTCCAACAGAGGAGCAGCTAGCCACCGGTCAGTCGGCAAACACCGGACACTGTAGGGGGGGAAAACTTGCACTAAGCGTCACCAAGCAGACACACGGCATGCAAGCATACACCTAATCCATGCACGTTCTCATCGGCTCGAAAGTGCAGCCGCCATTTCATGCTGCAAGACACACGCACAGCGCCGCCACGCGTTCTCTTTCGTGTAACACGAGCACGCAGCGCTCATGCACACCTCCACGCATGCAGTGCAGTGCAATTCCCACTGACCGCTGTCCGGCACACAGCAGTACACACCCCAATGACCGGTCTCCAAGCACGTGGCACGACGGCCATAGAGCATAGAGAACCGAGTTCGCGCACGACACTAAGGACCCATTTACATAGGCCCGCGCGGGAGGACGTGCACGCGAGTACACAGTACAGCACCTCACACATCCATAAAGCTACAATGCTATTTTTTAGGCTGTTTAATCCCGGATATCAAACCGCAAAAGAAAACTCGCACAAGAAACAACGCTTCCGCACTGCGCTCATGTATCCGCCGTATATCCCAAGGGTTCATATACGTTATGAGCGTGTTCCCACGCTCTCGAGACACGTGTCTATCAATGACATAACGCCCGACCCGCGTAAATGTTCACACTTATTTCAGAGCGATCCCCGAATATCGCGAGCCAAAACGAACACTCGTGACTAAAACGATTTAGTAGCGCGCACTATATGCCCAGGGCCTAAAAAGGTCCCCGAATAGAGGTACTTTCATCCACGTTACCGCGGTACGCCCGGCGCGAAGATGACAGCCATCTTAGGCCGGCGCATGCAGCCACGTATAACGACACTGAAAAATCGTCTATTTCTTCCAGAGAAATACACTCCCGCACACGAAACTTTGCGAATCGATACAGAATCGCAATCCGCACACGATAAACGCACCATGAGACCGCTAAACGCGTTTAAACCGCACGGGCGTGTGTGGAGAAGGCGGAGCGCCACGGAGACACGTCCACACGACTCGACACACACGAGACGACCCCTCAACCTAACCTAACCTTGGAACCGGATGTGTTCCAGCACCCGATTCCAATTTGTGGCGTTTCTGACGTCCGACGACCACCGGAGCAACTGCATCCACAATCCGGACGCGAGGAGGCGGAGACCTCGACGCTGTCGCAGAGCAGCACAACCGAGCCCGGCCTGGCTCTCAATAGGAGCGGCGACGACCTCGACAAGCTCGTCGCGGAACTTCAGGCGGTGACAGGCTCATCTTACAGCGCGCCAATTGTGGCGCAACCCGTCGCATCAGCGAGTACAAACGGGGGACCGATACCCGATAGCGACGCGGTCATTAAACAACTCGAATAGAGATGTCGTGGTTAAGAGCGATCAAGTGTATCGCAGCTGTTATATTTTATTTCTTATTCACATTGTTAATTTTAAACATGGCCGAGCTGGTCATGATAGGTTTTGAGTATTTGATACTAAATAGCCAGCGACATGTCTATTTTACTTAATATTCATTTTATTTCGAGTTTTGATATTTTGAGATTTTATCACATTTTACGTTTGATTGTCACATTATATTTGATTTCATTTAACATGTATTTTATTTTATATTTTGAGATAATACCACCTTTTATATTTGTTTGCCACATTTTATGTGATGTTGTATAACATGTGTTTTTATTTTATATTTTTCAATTTAGGCTCAAGAAGCAATTATGTATTCTTAAATTAAGTTTTCATGTAAGCGCACGTATGAATGAGTGCATGAGTGCGAGCGATAACGCGAAAAGAGTTTTATTTTATATTCTTTCGAGATGAGTCACAAGATGACCGAAAACTGTACCTGCGAGATGAATAAATGACAATTAGTCACAAAAACGAGCGATAATATACTTACCTCGCGAGCATACTTCATTAGATTGACGAAAACACCGTCCATTGGATTACAGGAACCTGAAAAGAAAAAAGATATTGTTAACATGTAAATTGAGTCACAAATACGCTGAGAAATACTCACCTTTTAGTTTTTGCCACATTTTAGATCACAGGTTACCTGAAAATAAGAAAACGACTAAGATTAGTCACAAATTACGCGGAGATAAGAATCCGATATTAATTTCAGTTTATTTGGTTTACTTGAGTCACAATTAATCACAAATTTGCGAAGACCAAGTGACGAGGTCATATTTTAGTTTATTTCAGATTTTGTTCACAATTTAGCCACAATGCGGCGATATAGCCCTTGGAGGGCGAAGCGATACCTCGGGGATCATCACCGAGACGAAAATGTGATTCCCGGTCGAGCGAGCGCGCGAACGCGCCACAATGTGGGCAACCCGCGAGGCGTGACGTCACGGCGGGACATACGCCCGAAGGCGACCGAGTGCAGCGTGCACCGACCGCCGGGACTGACTCTCTCGTACTACTGAACGCGTAGCGTTCCGACTTTCGGCGC